TAATGGTGTGTCGTCCGCATATCCGAGGTAGACTAACCGCTCCCCGGCTTTGTTGCAGAGGCCCAGCTTCCTTCTGATCGCTTCTTGCGCCAAGGGCTCCACCGCACAGAGAAAGAGGTAGGGGGCGAGCAGACAACCTTGCCACACTCCTGACTTCACATCCACTGCCTCCCCCAGCCATCCATTAACTAATAACCTCGTTCTCGTGTCTTTATGCAGGCCCTCCACCCAGCCGACGAATCTCTCGGGGAAGCCCATTTTCCTCAAGACCGAGAAAACGAAGCTTCGTGATACCGAGTCAAATGCTATGCGGAAGTCCACCAGCAGCAAATACCAGTCTTCACTTTTTTTTTTTTGCCGCTTCGATGACGTCCGCAACCACGCCAATTGCGTCGGGGATTCTCTGCCCAGGTATAAATCCATATTGCTCCTCTGATGTCACCAGATGCGGCAGCGGCTTCATCCTGTTTGCCACCACCCGCGCCAGAACTTTGTAAGTGAAATTAAGCAAAGTAATCGGGTGGTAGTTGTCCAGTTTGTCTTTCTCTCCCTTTTTGTGAAGCATAATAGTAACCGCTTCTTTGATGCTGGCAGGAATTGCAGCTGTGTCCGAAAAATCCTTCGCCATCCGCAAGAACTCTCTTCCCAGGACATCCCAGTTCTATTAAAAGAGCACCTTCGGAAGCCCATCCAAAGAGCACCTTCGGTTTTTTTTTGCAAAGGCTTTGAAAGCCTGCTTCACCACCTACTCTGACCAATCCGCCTCCAGCGTCGCGGCGACATCAGTGTTCAACCTCCTCCCCGGTAATGGTTTCCACCTTGCCGTCGATGTTCGACCGTCAGAGCCGAATAGGTCAGTGAAATACTTTGTTGCCGCTTCCAAAATCTCTTTAGAGTATGACAACACCGCTCCATCGACTGACAGCTCCGCGATTTATGTCCGCTGTTTCCTGACCTTCACCTTTGCCGACATGAACGGAGAGGGTACTTCGCCGGCGAGTTCTATGTTCGTACCCGCCATCAGGTGCAGCCTGTCTCGCTTCGACGCATGGTATTCCCGTAGTTGCGTTTCCCTGACCAGCTGCAAGTCACGCGTTTGTTGACAACCCGGGTTCCGCATTTGCTCTTGACGTAGCACCACTACCACATCTGCAAGATGCGCCGTAGTCTTTTTGATCCGCTTCCTCTCCTCCTTCGTGTATGAGCGCAGTCCCGTGTTCAATCTTTCCAGTAGTAACTCGAAATCCCCCTTGCCGCTCTCCGCCGCCTTGGCGAGTGCAGCTTCAACCGCCTTCCGAATCCCTGGTCTGCCGATGGCTGCTGCATGCAACCTCCAAATCCCAGGACCAAGGTCAGCAGTAGCTTTCACTTTCAACGCGACTTTGATGGCAAAACCGTGGTCGGAGATGTATTCCTTGGACGTAACGTGAGCAGCAATCTCTAAATGCGGCAGCAACGAGCATGAGACTAAAGCGCGGTCTATCCTAGAGCTGGATTGTTTTGAGGCTGCGTAGAAGGTGTATTCTCTCAGCTTGGGGTACAGAGTGCGGAAAGCATCGGAGAGCTGAAATCGGCTGCAGTGGGAAATAAGCCTGTCATTTTCTAACGAAGAGCCCGACTGCGACTTTCTGTCTAAGGTGGGATCCTCTACTATGTTTAAGTCTCCTGTCAGTACGACATGCGCCGTGGAGGGGATGCGGTCAATGGCTGGACCGATGACGTTAGCTAAGAAAGAGCAGCAGTCTGTTGCGTCAGCAGGGACGTATGAGGCTAATAAGGTTAGCGTGAAACCGGGACGGCTGACTTAAGCTACTATCAGCCTTCCCGATGGGTGAGTAACTATGTTATGGAAGGTAATGGATGGGTCTCTAGTAAGCACCGCAAATCCTCCGGCTTTGGCTGTGGGTGGGGTGGTTAGAACTGTGGCGAAAGAGGGTGCTTTCCAGTACGGATGATTATCTGGTAGTCTAGTGTCTGAGATAATAAGTACGTATGCTGCTGTTCTTGACCATGCAGTTACTATGGATTGCTTTGTCATATCTCCAAGGCCGTTGACATTCAGGCCCGCTAACGAGAAGAAGTTTTTTTTACTCATTTATTCACCAACTGGCAGCCCCTGTTCATCCACAGGCTGATGAGGACAACAACGCTAACAGCTGAACACCATCCGGCTATAACTACGAAGACATGATGCTCGTTCAACAGGCTCAGATTCCGTAGTCTTTCTTCAGGTTGCTGAGGATCATCTTGTCGAGTGTGATTTTGGTCGCACTACCCAGCCAGGCTCGGCAGGTGAGTAGCAGAGGCAATGTGACATGCAACAGCCATGAATGTCTTCCCTTTGGCTTTCCCGCAGCCGACCTGAGTGCAGATCCATTCCTCGCGGTTTCCGCCGGTTGAGATAAGAGCAATCGCAGGGTCTTTCAGAATGGGGGTGATCAAGGCGGAGGTGTGCAGGGATGCAGCTGCGACAGCAACAAGGATCGTCAGTAAGGGTAAAAAAGGGTAAGTGAGAGACGTTAGCCTGAACTTGAACCATGCAGTTACTGTTGATATGGCGAATTTTCCCCAGACTCAAAGACCACTTCCCTACATTGTTCTGCCTCTCTGTGACGAACAGATCATGATGAATGTCATAATGCTGTCCACCGCAGAGATGGCAGGACAATGCAGGGAAGTGCACCAGCAGCTTCGCCAACTTCCATCGGATTATCAACGATATAGCGCCAGCGGTAACGATCGCCGGGATGTTGGACAACCAAGCCTTTCACCACGTCAGTATCGGCTCCAGTTAGCGGGTGAGCAACACGGTGGAAACAGGATCCATCCTTGAAAGCCGTCTGCTTCCTCATCTTAAGCTTGAACCGGACGAGGAGATCCTTCAGCACGTCAGGTTCAATGTTGGCCGGAACACGCATGAAGACGACTTCGATCGCGAGCGGGTTGGATCTTCGGTATGCTGCCAGATGCACTTCACTGAAGGACCGTTTGCCATCTGGTAGTAGAAGGAGTGACACTTGATGTGATGCGCGTCACGCTCGTCCAGGAACGAGATCTGAAGCCGGCAGAAACGGATCTTGCACACGTAGGCAGGTAACATCTCCTGGATGTTTGCCGTAACACCAGCCTTGTCAGTCAAAGATCCGCTCTAGGCTTTCTTCATCAGGACACGAACTGCAGAGATGATAACTGCAACTTCCCGAGAGAGCACCATGGGGATAAGTAAGATTGCGGTATAGCAAAGGCGAAAAGCATCCTCTTTTGCGATATCAATGTCAAGTTTCTCATCTGAATCGTCCTCCAAGAAACCCTCATCAGCTCCTCCATCGATCGGCTGCGTCTGTGCCTTTTCTTCCACAGTTAAACCAGAACTTTCAGCAACAACAACAGACGGCGAGGTGACGGTAACCGCATCAGTGTTGTCCGTGTTCCCTGAAGTCTTCCCCCCAGCATTGACCTCAGCAGGTGTTGTCGTGACAGACTGATCAGGAGTGTCAACATCAGGCGGCGCTACTTTCGCGGTGGCCTTAGTCGAGCGACCTTTGGGAGGCATGGTGCAATGATGTCACTCGAGAAGCAGCAGCGTTGAACAAAACTCCTCTTGAGAAGGACTGAAAAGCTGTGACGCCTGAGCTGCTGGTGAACTGAGCACCACCTCCTTAAGTAGGTTCATGCTCGCTCGGGACTTGTGCTCCTAAACGAAATGATGCGTTCCCGAGGTCGACACCCTGGGAATATGACGAATCTGATGAACATTAAGGTTAGATGATCTTGATAGAAACGCAGAACCTTGATGATAGCTCGCGGTAAAGTCCCTGTGGACATTGTAGATCGTAGGAGCAAGCCTTGGTAATGTACGATGTTGATAGAAGAGTGGAACAGTGATCAGGACCCGAGTAACAAAGGATAAAATGTCCGCTGAAAGGACACGAAAAACATATCCTCGGCTTCTTAACAAACTCAGGAATGTAGATGATCGCTCACTGTTACCAACTGATAGGTAACCTTCACGCAACAGGCTTCAGAAGTTACGCGGAGGAATCCATGGCGGCCTAGGTCTTGTCATTACCTCTTTCTGTTTTCGGTTTCCCGTTTTTTGTACGTTTTTGTAACGTATATTTTGTAACAGTTGCGCGGACGTCGTGAATCGCGAAACTGCCTTTTTCGCGACACACAACATTAGTCCCAACACCAAACATAGGGCGGCTGGTACCTCCCTCTCTGCATGGCGGCAAAGGGGTACTTTAGGGTTTACTAGGCACCGTATGTTACGTGCGGCATCCCTTGTAGGTTAGCAGGCATCTCGTCTACATCAGCACCCCTTTGGGTTGACTCTCGCTGTTTCAATTTCGCTGTTTTTGTTTTTGTTGCCCGCGGGAAACTCGTTGCGTGGAACGTGACGTCCGCTGTTTTACGTGCGTAGAATCCGTTCTTTACTCGCGGACAAAGGAGCACCCCACGTTGACATTGGCATGGGTATGTTGTGCGTCAGCTCAGCACGGTACCCCGATGCCCTTGTACAGTACAGCATCCCCATGCCAATCAATAGTCAACGGGTCCTTGGTACAGTACACAGCTGGCGATGGCATCCGTTACGAATCGTTCAGAACATACGGCGGGCGCCAACGTCGCTACGTGGGCACCGGGAACGTGACGTGACGTCCTTCGTTTGCGGGCAAAGGGGCGTTGGCAAAGCACCCCCATGGCTGCCCGGCATTCTCACCTGAGCCTGACCAACCCCTTTGGGTTGACTCTCGCTGCTGCTGTTCTCTCCTGGGCGCTCCCCACGTACCAAACGAGAACTCCGCTTCGAGGCGCAAGGCGGTCTCGGGTTGCGTGAAAGCAGTGAGTGCCCCCCTTCCGTTCACAGCTAGTAGCATCACATCAACTTGAGCCTGTGAGTTCGTTCAACACAGCCCATTTCAGACGAGGTCTTCGTTTCTCCGCATCCATATCGCTAGTGACACACCCTCCCGCTCCCACATTGCTATCCCGCGACAATGTCTTATTCTCGGAGAGCCGCCGTGTTTGTGCTGCTGCTGCACGCGGCGTGGCTCTCATCGCCGCATCGTCTCGTGGCGGGCCACGTGTGGCCTTCCGATGAAGGCTCGCGCCGCGAGATGGCCGTCAAGGCGCCTCGTAAGCGTTCTGGTCCAGTCGTCTGAGCGTTCTAGTCAGTCGTGTGAGGGTCTGCAGTCGTCCGTCTTGTTTGACTCGCCCATTCCATGCCAAACTGTTTTGAGAATTTAATCTCCCCATGACGCCCCTAATCCACCGGTCCGTGTCTTCCAATTCCCTCCTCCCCGCCACAAGCCACATGCCCCAGTGACGTTGTCTGCCCGACGGGAGCCTTCTGCGTGGTGGACAGCGGCGGCTTCCCCTTCTCATCTCCCCTCCCCCCCCTCCCCTCCCCTTCTCCCCTCCCCCCTTCCCCCTCCCCTCCTCCCCTCCCCCCTCCCCCTCCCTCTCCCCCCTTCCAGCCGCATGCCCCAGTGACGTTGTCTGCCCGACAGGAGCCTTCTGCGCGGTGGACAGCGGCGGCTTCCCCTTTTGCAAGTGCCTCACCGGGCAGGGCATCATCAACGGCGCGTGCTTGGATGCCATGAGCTGGAAGACGGTGGGCACGAGCGTCGTTCTCTATAACGCCGCCTCCTTTGCCAACTCGCCCGCCACGCTCGCGCCCGCCGTGCTGCGCGCGCCGGCACCCAACTCCTCAGCCTGCACGGTGGTGCCGAAGGGGTTCAACGGCACGGTGGGGTCGCTGCAGATCATGTGGAACGTGAATGACGGCGCCGCGGATCACCTGGTGTGCGGCAAGCTCGTGTTCTGGGACAAGAACGACTGCTCTGGATCTTCATTTGCGTACGAGATTCCCGGCAAGTGGACGGCCGCCAAGGCCGACAACTTCAAATACGCCACCACCAGCGTCAAGTGAGTGCTGCAGCAACTGTCTCCCGCAGTGTTTAGGGTGATCTCTGCTTTTCCTGCAGCGACTGGTGCTTGTGTTTGGCTGCACTAAACTATTCATGGCCCACTCTGCGCGTGGGCTGTTGGAACGGAGTGCAGGAAGGCAACGGGCGTGGTGGCGACGGGCAGGTCCTTCTCGTGTCTGGCGGCCGTGAAGCCGCCTGTCACGGACCTGTGCGCCACGGCGTCGTGCCCGCCCAACTCCAAGTGCGTCCTGACGAACAGCTCCTTCGCGCAGTGCGTGTGCGACGCTGGACTGACCTTGGTTCCCGAGGGCTTCTGTGTTGGTGAGTCATCGACATGCGTGGAGTGGAGTTGGGTTGGGGACCATGGGATGGGAGGTGATTCATGCATAGTCCCTGCGGCACACTTGAATTGGTTCATGCACTTCCATCCGTCGACGCTTGCACACATGAAGGCAGTTTACCCATGTGCGTCAGACTCGTGACATGGCAGTTGACCAATGTGCGTCACGACGTAGCAGTGTTACTATGTATGTCATGGCAGTCGCCTCACGCCTACATTTGCCGCCTTCCCCTCCACTAAGTCATCCTGCTGGCATGCACGAGATGCCCTTTGCTCTCATTGGTCCGTTTTTGCACAAAATGGCTTCAAGAATGCACACTCCTGATAACGGCAGGCCAGTCTGCTTATTCTTTCTTTTGATGCAGATTCGTGCTCCGTCAAGCAATGTGGCATCGGTGGCAATTGCGTTCTTCTATCTAATGGCGAGCCGTATTGTGCTTGCAAAACTGGCTACGAGCAGGAGTTCGTAACTGGCTCATGCATTGGTATGTGTGCTCATGCATTGATATGTGTGCTCATGCATTGATATGTGTGCTCATGCATTGATATGTGTGCTCATGCATTGGTATGTGTGCTTACATCGGTATGTGTGTTCACATTGGTATGTGTGCTTACATTGGTGTGTGTGCTCTCCCTATCTCATTCTTCCCTTATTACCAACCGATATTACCTATCGGTGTTCGAAAGATTCCTGTCATCCCTTCCGTTTTTTCCTCAACCCCAATGTTGCCTACAGGAGAGGGTCAATGCAAAGACTGCCTTCAGGGTACCTTTGGCAACAACTCTTTGCCGTACGCTTACTGCCCACCGGGCTTCAACATGCGCTCTGGTGCTTGCCTGCCAGGTGGGTACTGTTGCCTGCCAGGTGAGCTGTAGCCTGCCAGGTGGGCTGTAGCCTGCCAGGTGGGCTGTAGCCTGCCAGGTGGGCTGTAGCCTGCCAGGTGGGCTGTAGCCTGCCAGGTGAGCTGTAGCCTGCCAGGTGGGCTGTAGCCTGCCAGGTGGTTACTGCAGCTCTTCTTGCAGGCTATGCATGGCGTGCGATCAACAGGGTAGTACTTACGATGCACTTGCTGCTTCACCACCATTTCAGGGAAACATCTAGCGCCAGAATTTCTCCTTGGTGTCGTATGCTTTCTCTGCCTGATCTCTTCTCCTTCACACCACTCCCCTGCGCCCAATGATCCCATCCCCTTGCCTTGCCTGGCAGGAGTCGTGCCTGACGTGGCAGACATCGCCATCAGCATCTACAGCACCACCAGCTTTGGCTTACAGAGTGGTCCCCCTTACGTCTTCCGCCTCAAGCCCAACAAGTGTGTCACCATCCCGCCGGCCGTGGTTGCCAGCAGCAAGTCAGTGGGCATTCTGTACCGAGCGCCTGGCACGTACGTGAGGTGCACCACCATGACCATCTTCACCCAGCCCTTCTGCGCTGGCTACTCTCTCAGTGACGCCGTGCCCATCAACAACGACCTTGTTGCCACTCCCATTCCGTGAGTCTCTATCTCTCTTCCTCTCTCCTCCTCCCTCTCTCACTCTCCTCCCCCTCCTCCCTCTCCTACCTCTCCTCCCTCTCCTCCCTCTCCTCCCTCTCCTCCCTCTCCTCCCTCTCCTCCTCTCCTCCCTTTTCCTTTAGGTCTGCCCCCAACCTCCCTGTCTTTAGCCCCGAACGCCCTTTTTTTTTTGCCACATTGTATGTTTGTACCCTCAAAAAATTTCCTTCTTTCTTTTTCATGTTTCTCTGATCAGGAATAATGGACTCTGGAAGCCCTTGTCTGTACAGTGCCTTTTGTCTTGAGGATCTGGCTGGGAAGACATTAAGCTTGAGATTTGAAGTTGAAGAAGAATGCTGCATGGCTTTCCCTCCTTGTTCCGCTTCTTCCCTTCTCTTTTTTTTTTTTGTTTTTGTTTGTTTATGTTTTTTAATTAGAGTAATTGATTGAACTCTCCTCTCCTGGTACAATTTTGTTGGGCTACCAATTTGATTGACTCGTCACAATTTTGGTTCTACTGTAGGCAATACCGTAGGACGAGAATGGCAAAACATTCTACTGTGCCCGCACGTTTGGCGGTGCACAGTGCAGTGCACACTAAATAAAATCTGAATGATGCCCCGAGTCTGGAAATTTGACTGTCAAGTGCCAATACTTGAGGTGTACCGTGCAACTGCTTTCAAAACAGTACCGTCATCGCCCGGATATAAGACATATATGTCTTATCTTATACATTAGAAAAAATGCTTGGGTTGTCTTGTATTTGGGACGGTTTAGGGTGTCTTATAGGTCTTATAAATGGAAAAAAAAAAAAAAAAAAAAAAAAAAACTGTGTAACATTTGCAAAGTGTTCAGAAACCACCCAGGGGCCAGATTCATTGAATTCGGCCGACCTCGGTGGTGATGCATGCGTCGCCAGCACATGCCACGTGAGGGATGCAGCAAAGCTGCCTGTGCTGGCAACATCCCTCCGTGCTGGCAGCATCCAATGATGCTGCTTGCGCCGTTTTGCTGCCAACAGCGCATGGATGGTTCCAGAACGTTGCTGGCAGCACGATGGCAGCGTGAGGGCTGTCATGTCATGTGCTGTCCTCTACGAGGAGATTCCTCGTAGAGAAGCGGCTCGGCAGCCTTTGGAAGGGGCACTCTGGCTGGGGGGGGTAGTCGGGCTTGAGCTTCATTTGGTGCTCAAGAAGGTTGAGATTAGCTCAAGGGTTGCTCTCGGCAGGCTCAACCATGCGCAGCAAAGTCCCTGTAGGCACGGCCTCCTCTTGCCCTCACTTCCAGGTGAACAACTACGGGCGAATCAACTCGCCCGGTGATGATATCCGTGTAGCCATGGCGAAGGATACGCGCAAGGCGGGATGCTCTACCGCCGCCTCTGGTGCGAGCTGTGACGAAGAGGATGGCGAAGAAGAACACGGCGACGACGGCGAGAAGGATTGGCCGGAGAACGGCCACGACGACAGCACGTCGGGGGATGAAATCCCTGCTGGCGACATCGACGACGACGATTGGTGGAATCGGCCGGTTGGCGAGGACGACGAGGTGGAAGAGTGGCGGGCTGGTGACTCGGACAACGACGTAGCTGCGGATGCTGATGGTGAGCACGCAAAGGCAGCTGCGCATACAACCGATCAAGCCCCTACGGGTGCGACGGTAGATGCGGATGCGGATGCGGTTGCGGATGTAGACGACGAAGCAGACGCGGAAGCAACGACCGAAGCGGAGGCGGAAGCGGATGCGGATGCGGTTGCTGCCGCGGATGTGGAGGCAAATGCGGGTGCGAATGCGGAGGCGGAGGCGGATGCGGATGCTGCGAAGGTAGGTGCTGATGCAGTCTTCTTCGACGGTGAAGAAGAGGAGGACGACCCGTGGAGCATCACGGGGGACGACGACGTGCCACTGCTGAAGCGGAGGTTCCGTCATCGCCTTCATCCCAAGAAGCGACCCCGTGTCGTGCTCACCGATGACGACAGTTCGGAGGAGGAGCGTCAACCGCGCCTCACTTCTGCAGACAAAGGAAAGGCCAAGGTCGCGGAGGTCCCTGCTAAGGCCACCGTACGTCGCCGCACAAGCGACAAGAAGCGGAAAAACGACGGCGACCTGGGTTCCAGCAAGGGTGCTGCTAAGAAGAAGAAGAAGAAGAAGACTCCAAACCCGGACAACATCGTGGTGAACGAGGTGCTCGACATCGACGATGAATACGCAGCAGCTGCATGCCCGATTCCTTCCTTCGCAGAGAAGGTGAAGCCGAAAGACCCCACCCTCCGTAATCCCAACTCCCGTCCCCCTTCCCCTCGCAGCAAGGATACTAAGAAAACAAGGCGCGGATGGACCGTACGCGAGAAACTCAAGTGGGCGCGCCGCTACCAAGAGCTCGGCTCCCTCAAGAAGACCTCCGTGGAATCCACGGCGTCCATCGCCTGCATCAGACGCTGGAGCGCGGAGGCTGCAGCGGGCCTTTACAAGGGAGCGGCGAACTGCCGCAAGCGGATGCACGGGGCCGGCCGCCACTCACACTACCCCGGCATGGAGGCGGCTTTGTACCGCTACATATGCCTGCAGTGCGCGAATGGGGTGGTGATCACGGTGAAGGACATTCAGAAGTGGAGCCGCGAGTGGATGAAGAAACACCACTTCGGGAAGAACTGGAACGCGAGCTCACACTGGAGCCGACGGTTCCGTGACCGCTGGAACTTGGTCATGCGGGTAAAGACCAAGGTCGGCCAACGGCTATCGGCAGGTGAGTGGTTAAGGGAGTGAATCCGCGCTTGATTCTTGACTGTATGTACCTAGAACTCTAATCACCTCATGTTTCTACCCATCCCCTCCTGCTGTGCGGTGTTTTTCCTGCGCAGAGTGCGCTAAAGACTGCGAGTCGTTTTGGATGTTCGTGCGCATCAACAGGGCGCGGCACAACATCGATCCCTCGTTGAGATGCCGGCCGAGAGGACGATCGAGCACCGTGGTGTGCGCTCGGTCCCAATCCGCACGACAGGATATGAGAAGACGTGGATGACGGTGATGCTCGCCTGCACCGCATTCGAGGAGAAGCTGCGCCCGTGGGTGTGGTTCAAGCTGAAAAACGTGCCGAAGGGTGACATCCCGGACGGTAAGCTAATCGAATTCTGCATGTAGATCTTGCCCTTCTTGTCCGGCCTGCCAAATTCTTTCCAAGACTGTAGATCTTACCCTTCTTGTCTGACCCCCCTCTCTCCCCTCTGTGCCTGGCAGGAGTGTGCCAAGCACAGGATAACGGGTGGATGGACGAGAGCGCTGTGCAGACCTGGCTGACCAAGGAGGTGCTGCCCCAAGCCTACCGTACGCATAGCATCACCCCTGCAGTAATCCCAGCAGGTTGCACGAGCCAGATTCAACCTTTGGACGTCTCCATCAACCGGTGCTTCAAGGCCGCGGTGCGCGCACGCTATGCCAGGTGGTTTATGCGTGAAGGGATTCACCCGAAGACGAAGAAGGGTGAGTCAATATTATACAAGTTCAGCGTTGTTACCCTTTCATGTCGTGTTACACCTCCATGTCTCTAACGGCGTGCTGTCACTGCCTCTGTCCCACTCTCAGGGAACCTGCGGAGGCCTCCACACCCCGTGGTGCTGCAGTGGATTGCGGAGGCGTGTGATCAAGTCCTCAAGCAGGTCATCATTGACGCGTTCCGCCACTGTGGGATTTCAAGCAAGCTGGACGGGACGGAGAACCACCCCGTGATGTCTCACCTGCGCGCGAGGAGCACCACTGATGTCTCTGAGGACATGACCCTCGGAGGGACCACGGGCGACAACACGCGCCTGCTTCGGCAGGCTCTTGAGGAGGAGGAGGAGGAGGAGGAGGAGGAGGAGGAGGAGGAGATCCAGGTGGAGGGCGTCAGGGAGGTGGCCGTGGCAACCGGCCTAGAGGTGCTGTACCAGGAGACCCCCAACTACCGCGGAGCGGCGGCCGAGGCTGACCGCATGATCGAGCCAAGGCAGACGGCTAGGCATGCCTGGCGAGTGCCAGACCTGGGTGTTAGGGAGCCTGATGTTAGTGCAGATGAGGAGGCCGTGACGGAGGGGGGCTAGGTAGTAAAAGTAATAATTCATGAATGTACATGCATGTACCCCCCATAAGGAAGTAAGGATCGTTTAGAAGACACCCCCCCTTTATAAGATAACCACTAAATCCTTGTTCTGATTACAAGACACTGTCTTAATTTGTACACACATGTAGGTGTCTTATAATGAGGAACACCTGTTTATAAGAGACACCCGTTTAATAGACACCCCCTGTCTTCTATTCAACAATGTCTCATATCCGGGCGATGACGGTAGCTAGAACTTAGTAGCCATAGCTAGGGTTGAAGGTACTAGCATGAGTGTCGAAATAGTTGAGCAAAGGAGGAAGGTGGTTCACTAATGAGCAAAGATACAAGATATAGTGCAAGGGACAAGGGAATGAGGTGCACTGTTCGTTTATTCAATACCATGGATCTCGACGTGATGTTAAGGTCGCCATGGATCTTGTCATGCGCTTCGGAGCAAGCTTTGTCTAGGCAAACATCACCTATTTTTGATATAGACTACACCATTCGATGCAGCTTCGGTTCTTCTATAGGTAGACATACAAATTGTACCCATCAGGCGGGTATCTTTCTTGCTTATCGAGTTCTAGGCTCATTGTCGTTATCAAACCTAGGTTCTGCCAGGCTGTCGCTTAGAAGTTCTCAGCATGGATCGGAAGCATCTCCTAGGTGCCTTTCCCTGTCCTTGTGGCTCTATAGGGTGAGCTGGCGGTTACCGAGCAAGTTTAAGCCTAAGTCCTACTCCGTGGCAATCATGCTACGCCAGGTGTCCGAACCACTTCCAAGGACAATGGTTCCCTTAGTGCCTTCAAGTTCAGGCGGTTCCTTGGGAATGGAAGACGAGGAAGAAGCAGGCATTCTATATATTGATAGCCTGTCAGGAATCATCATTCAGCGAGATTCACGCCTCTCTTTCTGTGAGACCAAGTATGCCGATCTTGACCAGGGCGACGAAAGCTGCTGCTACCATGACGACGCAGGAGGGTCTGACTGTCCCGCCGCTGGAGCAGACGGCTGGCGCGGAAACGAGTGCTGGAACCCACGCTGCTCTTCCTGCTGAAGGCCAGGTCGCTCCAGTGATCACGCCGGCTCCTGCATCTCCCGTTCCGCAACAGGTGGCGCCTACGCCTACGGCTTCGTCTACGCATGCTTCTGTTGGAGAGGAAGAGGAGGACGAGGATGACGATGATGGGTACTTAAGTGACGATCCGGATGAAGGCACTGAAGTGCATGCTAAGGGTGCACTGGCGGCTAAGGCGCGCGTCACGCTGACACTCCTGATCCCGTTCGAGCTGGCGAAGGAGATGCCTGCGGTGAAACCTTCGGTGAAGGCTCTCCTGGTCTTCCTGCGGAAGAAGCTGTCGGACAAGGCTCTGGACGAGATCGCGTTTCAGGAGCTGCTTCCGACATACCTGTCCAAGATTCACTTCAGCCGCCTGCAGGTCACGCTAGCGTCGGCTGAGGATGCGGAGGTGGTGCGTCAGCATCGTGTGGAGCATGTCGCCGGAACCACGAAGCATCAATTCGGCTGGCTGCATCCGGTGAACCGTGCCTACGTGAAAGCGAAAACTGACCTGCCGGAAGGTGTGGAAGTTTTGCTGAAGGGAGTCCCAGCGGAAATCACGCCGCTCATCGTTTATGAATCGCTGGTCGTCGCGAAGCTGCAGAAGCGCGGTCGTCCGGCATTCCTGCAAGGCGCGGGTTTCCACCGTGTGGTTGACCCTGTTTCGGGCCTGGACACGGACAAGATCCACGGGTTGGTGAACTCGCACCCAGGGGACAAGAACCGCTGGCGCCATGCGGTGGAGGACCCGCTCAGTTATGCGACATACCTTGTGCACTATCCATCGCTGTCCTGCTGCTTCTGCCACATACCTTGTGCACTATCCATCGCTGTCCTGCTGCTTCTGCCAGGGACCGCACATGGATAATTTGCATGATGAGTATGTGCATAAGCGTCGCAACAACATCAACAACTGGAACTTGTCTTTAGGCAGGGTCCATTCGATTAACGGTAATGGGGGGGGGATCTCACTGTGGAGTCATTATCGATGTATGGTCTTTCCTTTCTCGCATACTGATGGTGATGTGATGGGTGTCCACTGCAGCGGCCTCCCTCCAGTCGGCAGGGGTGGTGAGGAAGATCCTTCGCGACCCGGCGCTGGTCCTTATCTCGACGGGAGCCAATGTGGAGGGATGGCTGTGTGTTCAGGAGTGCTTCGAGCGTGCGCATGGAGACACCTTCGCTCAGGCTGCGGCTCACATTGGCTCCTTCAGCCATTGTGCGGCGCTGGGTTCGGCAGGTGTTGCGACTTGCGCGACCAAGGCGAAGCAGAGCCTGCATGCGGCAAAGAAGCTGTACGGGATTCGTGCAGAGAAGGCGAAGGGGAAATAGCTCAGTTGCATGAAGTTACGAGGAGCAATAGGAGTGTATCAGCTGTCATTGTGCCTGTACCTGTCTGGAGTATAAAAGCAGAGATCACCACTTGCGGCAACACCCTTACCAACAGCCCGTGGATGCTAAGGGGCTCACCACGGGTTCCAGATGGGTAAACACACCACCCTCACCTTTAACGTACTGAATGTCAATGGTCTCACCTGCTGGCAGAAGCAGCAGGACGTTCAGGATAGGATAAGAGACGGTGCTCAAATAGCCATTTTAACGGACACACGGATCTCGGGGGATCACAACTTTTGGAACCAGCTACAAGCGGACATGGTTGTAGCAGCGACTCCTACCGCAAGGGCTGGGGGAGTGGCGATTGTCTTACGTAATAGTGAGGTGTCCTGCTCGGATGTGGTCAAAGACGCTTCGGGCCGCCTGGCGCGGGTGACCATGGCATGGCGCGGCGTGACGGTGACGGTGGTTGCGGCTTACTTCCCAGCGAGCCCAACGGCGAGGTCTCCGTTCTTCCGCGATGTGCTTCGGCCGTTCCTGGCGGCGATTCCTGCTGGAAGCCAACTGTTGTTGGCAGGAGATCTGAATGTCATCGAAGATCCTGCACTGGATAAGACGTCGGGGTTAGGCTCAAGGGGGGAAAATGATAGATTAATAACCATCTGCAGCAGCTTCTATGTCCGAGATGCCTTCAGGGCGCTCCATCCCTGCCTGCGGGAGTACACCTTTTACGCGGCGGCGGTGCAGGAGAGTACGAGGATTGACAGGATTCTCCTCTCGCAGGCGCTGCTTCACCAGGTCCACGAGGTGCGGCATGTGGGGTTGGTCAAGAGGTTCACGGACCACTGGTCCGCGGTCCACCTGCAGCTTAGCCCGGGGGGAGACGGGGAGTCAGGCCCGGGTCTCTGGAGGCTTCCGGCATCGCAGGTGCCGCGCCCTAGGGTGTAGCAGAGGGTGGACCAAATTGTTTGAAAGAACACATAGAGAGGGGGGGATCTGGAGGCGCTAATGACTTCTCTGAAAGTGGGCCTCAAGGCGTACACTGTGGAAGAGCGGAAGCGAGTAGCGGCTACGACGGCGCACCTTGAACGCGAAGTTGGGGAGCTGAGGCAGCGGGTGATGAGAAAATCTCGATGCTCGCGGGCGAAGGCGCGCCTAGCGAAGTGTGAAGCCAAGCTCAAAGCTTACGTGGAAGGAAGGCGCCATAAGCTGCAGTACAGGCGCGAATCAAGGTGGAAATGAACGGTGAAGCCCCCACAGGTTTCCTCTTGTCCAAAGTAAAGGCGCGGAAGGGTAAGACACGCCTGGTAGATATACTATGCCAGGGATCCCGATATGAAGGGGCTAAGGAGGCGCTGAAGGCTGCGTCAGATTTTTACACCAAGTTGTTTGCAGCGGGTGCGGACTCACGTTTGGATTGATAGGTGGACAAGTGTCTCTCCCTGGAGGATGCGGCGGCGCTCAGCGCGCCCTGGGAAGAAGTGGAGGTCAAACGCGCGCTGGCGGAAATGGCGCCAGGCAAGACGCCGGGGCGCGATGGTCTCCCAAAGGAGCTCTGGGAGTCACAATGGGACCTGCTGGGGGGGCAAATGATGCAGTTCCTGAAGGAATTCTAACGGATGGGGGTACTCTCTAAGGAATTTTCAACTGTGGTGACGGTGCTTCTGCATAAGAAGGGTGCCAAGGACGACTTGCAGAACTATCGCCCGATTACACTACTAAGCACGGTATACAAGCTTATCGCGAAGATATCGGCGAATCGGATAAAAAATAGGCTAGAGAGCATGGTGTCGGCTGGGCAGTTCGGCTTCTTACCTGGAAGGAGTATCGCTGGCGCGGTGGCGATTGCGGCGGATGTGATTGATGCCGTGAACGCAGGGTAGGAAGATTGGCTCATGCTCCTGGTTGATTTCCGCAAGGCTTTTGACTCGGTGGCGCATGGGTACCTGTTTGACGTGCTGCGGAAGATGGGCTTCCCGGAGGCCTACGTGAAGTGGGTGGAAGGATTGCATCAGGGCGCGGCAACCCGCATCTGCAACAACGGCTGGCTGGGAGAAGAGGTCCCGGTCTCGACTGGGGTGAGGCAAGGCTGCCCCCTCGCGCCGTACTTGTTCCTATGTGCGGTGGAGCCTTTCTGCCAGGAGGCAAGGAGGAGGTGGTTAGGGATCAATATCAAGGAAGCAGGAAAGCTGACCTACCTGGGGTATGCTGATGACACTACATTGATACTGAACGGTCGCTCGCAGCTGGGGGACGCTGAGCTGCTTATGAAGGAGTTCGAGCAGATGTCGGGGCTGGCGGTTAACTGGGACAAGTCGGTGGTGCTGCCGCTGGGGAGTCAGCGTGATGTACCACCGCCAACAGATGGGGCCTTCAAATGGGCGTCGCATGATGACCCGGAGCGCCTGTTGGGGGTCTGGATCACACCGAGGGGAGATGCAAAGCCGTCGTGGAAGAGAGCTTTAAGCAGAATGGAAGCGGAGCTAAAGAAATGGGAGGCGACATTTCTTACCACCACAGCACGGGTAACGGTGGTCAACGCACATGTCATGCCCATCGCGTTGTTCCAGGCGCAAATATACCCCCCGCCGGACACGATCTGGGAGGAGCTGAGGAGGCTGTGCCACGCCTTCGTCTCCGGTGGACGGGCGAACTCAGAGCCGGGCTTCATTCTCTGGAACGGGGACCTCATGCAACTCAATAGGGAGGAAGGGGGACTCCGGGTGATAAACCTTAAGGACCGACTGGACGCGGAGGCGCTTCACTCGCTAGCGCAGCTGCTCACGGAGGAGATGCCGCAGCGGCGGTTGTTGGCAGATCGAGCGGCGAATTTCCCGCTTGGTCACGCCTCCCTCCTTGCGCATGAGGCGCTGCTGAAAGCGTGGGGCACGGGGAGTGAACGGTGGAAGGCAATCACGGCGGCAGCAATGACATCGCCGGCTGTCAGGAACCTGGCGGTAGGGAGCAGATGGGACATCGAGAAGGAACGGGTGCTTTTCAACAGGCACATCCTGCGTGATGGCGGCTACCCCTTCGGACGGCGCAAGGGTGACGAGTGTCTTCGCGAGATTATGGTGGAGGACCTGCTCATGAAATAGGCAGATGGCACCAGAAGCTGGAAATCGTCAGAGCGGCTGGCGCGGGACTTGGGCAGCAAGCAGGCAGCGGAACTAGCCACGGCGGTCAGGGAGGCGTTAAGTGACGACTGGAAGGCGCGGATCCTGAAGCCGCTCACGTCGGAGGAATTGGCAGAAGCCACAACGGTTGTGAGAACGATGGCGAGAGGGACGCAGATGTGGTGGGTTCACAAAACCCTCGGCAGCCTGCTTTACAACATTTTACAAATGATACAAGAGGCTGGTTCGAAGCTCGTCTTAGATTTGCTCGGGAGGTTCGGATTGGTTAGCTGGAAAGCTACATTCCGCAACTTCAAGCTTGAGCCTGGGCCTGGTTGCCCGTCAGCTTCGAAACCTTCGCTCAACCTTCACTCAACATACCCTCAGAGCTACGTCAACATACCGCGCACCTACGCTTGACCTACCCTCAACCTGCCCCATAGCTAGAGATGCGAACGTAGGCTTTTCAAAACCTACGTCACACCCCTCACCATTTTTGGGATGCTCCTACCGCCGCCATCGGCGTGACATCCGATACGGATAGCGTTTTAGTTCTCGCCCCTTCTGGTACGAGCCACGCCTTCCCGTCCTCGTGCTTGTGCAACTTCGTGCAGTAAAGCAGGCTGCCAAGGGTTTTGTGAACCCACCACAGCTGCACCCCTCTCCCCGTCGTCCTCACGACCCTCGTAGCTCCCACCATTTCCTCTGCCGTGAGCGACTTCAGGATCCGCCCCTTCCAGTAGCGCTCTTAGAATGCGTCACGACACGACTCACGACACACTACTACACGCGGATAGAGTGAGAAGGAACTAGGTTCAGCTTGCCAGCACCGCTCAAATCTCGAGTTCGACACCCGAGTTGCATTCCAGAACACTGGCGATGGTGTTTCTCAGCAGTTACCACCCCGTTTTTGCAATAAAACTATTCACCAAACGGTAAGTTCCGCCAAAAGCCGTGATATTCTCAGTTCGCCCACGTACATAATGACCCAAGATACAAATCCGAACGAATCCAAACCTAATCCAAAGCCCGTGCTCCTGGTCTCACCACGCTCAAATTCGCATTCCAGAAACCACACCTTTTTTCGTTTGCACGGTATCTGTAACCCTCTCATTCGTGTTCAGCACCTTCCTTCCCTCTTCGTTCTAGGCTAGTCTGGTTACTTAGCATCATAGAGGGAATCCAAGCCAAGCAGATACCGTACAAATCTACGAGTCAGGCGTGGCGTACATTGCTTTCACCTCCGCCTAGATTTCCTCTCGAGCTATCTAGTTCTTCTCGCCGTTTTACCCCTCGCTTTGGGTATATTCTTTCAAAGCCATCGCATCTACTCAAGTAGAATTCACATTTCCATATTTCAGATCATTTGGCGGGTCTAGCGCTGTTTCCGGAGCTCAGATCCGTGTCTGCGCTAGTCGCTCAGCACCACAAATCAACCTGCAAAACCCTAGATACAGGTAAGGCTGGCTGGCGTGTTCATTCATTTCCGCCTTGCACACGAGCTTTACATTTCCCTCCTTTCGCCAATGCTTGGAGTCTTTTGATTCTCCCTTCATCAGAAAAATGTCGAGGCCATATTGGGTGGTAAACGCCCTCGTAGGCGTCGGTTGTGTTGTGCTGACGACGAATTCTTCTGAGGTCAATAAACCACTAAGGGTATTGCCCTTTGTGACTCGAAAACGGGGGGGGGGGGGGGTCCAAACCACCATCTACGCGTGTTTGTTCAGCTACAGTGACGGGGAGTAAGTTCGGGTTGATTGGGTCTTTAGTGTCGTATATGATCAGTTACGAATGGGGGGTTTTGGGTCGTAAACGTGCAACGGGGTTGACTGCGATTTACACCACCCGGCATTTATGGCGAGATGGTGTGGGTAAACATCT